GAGTACAAGGTAGGGTTGGGGTTTTTTTTTTGAGGGGGGNTAGTTTTAGGAAAATAATAAGGTTTTCTGAATAAGAAATTAATAACCTTCAGGTCGGCCCTCTGTTGGTGATTTACGTGTAACATATCCACTCTATTCTTAAAATCATTGAACACATTTTTAAAGAGCATGGAAAGTCAAGAAAAAAGTATGGCTACCTGAATTACTTTTGGAATAAAGTTATCTAGAACACGTAAACCGTCAGACTTCATAACTACAAGGAATCACCACGAGCCGAGACTCACTCACTTTATATTTCTGTAAAGATAAATTATTTCTTTAAATAATTTCTTTAAAATAAACTTATGATAATAGCATTTTAAAAGAGGAGATGTGTTAAGTTATTCTTATTGAGGGAATTTATCAGGTCTTTCAGTTGACCATTAACATTTAGCAATTTCAGAAGTCAAATAGAACTTTCTTTGAGGAGTCAAAACATATGTGAAATAGACTTGTCCTTTGAACTCGAGATTCAAAGCTCATTTAGGGTAATCAAATTCATACGTTCAAAGGTCTATAGAAAGACCTGTTTATCTCTTAACATGCCGAGCACAATGACAATGAGAATTTTCACAGTAAATAAGCACTTGCCTCTGGATATATATGGGTTCACCAGCTTATATTCCTTGATTGCACCAGGAAAGGCCAAACCCAACACATTTTGACAAAACAAACACATGAATACGGTAACAGAAAAGTTTTCTGAATAAGAAATTTTAATTTTCTGAAATATCTTACACTGATTCTTATACTTCCATCACTGACTTAGTAAACAAACCGAAAATAGTATTATCGTATGTCATTCTTTTCGGTTTATGTGGATTTTATAAATTTCTAATGTAACAGCGGGACATTTTCGATTCCATCCAATCATTTATTCTAATATAAACATCAGGAAAAAGGAGAAATATCACGTCACAAATTATATAGAGCCCACGTGATATTGAAATTAAGTCAATTGATTCATCACACGGCCTTGACCTTCCGCCTATTATTCCTTGAGTTTGTACTTATATGGCCTGTCCGATTTACAGTTGGTCTCGCACGCGATGTTACGTCGATCACAGAAGTCAGAGCAGTAGTACCATTTCGTGAAGGAAATCTGCATCTGACACCGGAAGGTGCAAAACTCCATCATCTTAACACAGAAATGACAGGACACATGACTCCACCTGGAGGCCTCTACCGACACCATGGCAACGAGGAGAAGCAGTACCGGAAGTGCGAGTTTATTCTGTAAAAGAAAAAGGCATCTGTATTTCATACGAAAGTGAGGTGCAAAGTCATAAACATCACTTTACACTGAGTACATGACTTTTGGATACCCGCCTCGTTTAGATGATTATAATTTTGATAACCTCAGTAAAACTCATCAGACCGATCGTTTCACTTCGTTGTTATTACAGAATGGTTAGAAATACGAACCCATGACAAGTGAATACCATAAATACAAACACAAGTTACGAAACAGAACACACCACGTGTGGTAACCCCCCCGCCCTACCCAACCCCTAGTTTTGCATCACTCACACGTACGTGTGAAGAAAGACAATTTTTGTACTCGTTTGCTTATTTTGACTGAAACGTATATTTTCTCAACTACGCATGACATTATTCATTGTGGTACAGATAAACGTTAAGATCATTCATTAAAAGACTTGTATCGTGTTGGTTCATTTAGCAATATAAGGCTACGTAGGAAGTCCGAAACAGTTGTTCAATATCTTCTTAGAATTTGTTATGTATTTCCAAAGTGCAATACATCAGGTAACTATTTTAATAGTTGTAAATATGTCTGTGCTTCTTGTCTTCAGGATTCAATTTTGAATTTATATATTATACAGTTTCATTTTTAAATTTCGAAATTATTAATAAACGTTTTGCGATTGAACTGTTGTAAAGCTAACCAGGCTTTGACCGATTAGGCCGAGCTGAGGAAGATCCGACGGCACTTTCCGTTTACGGAAATTGCCGACGGTTTCAGAGTGCGTCATGACAGTTACTGTATATCACTACATTTCTGCGAAAGTTTATCTTCCATATGACTGTTATATAGATAGTAATAATAGTTCTTAAAAAAACCCACCTTAACGGTATAACAACCCAGTAGGTACATTCTGTACCACAGGGACCTGAGAATTTGTTACAGCTATATTTGGACCTAGACTAAGGGAGAGTACGTGTTTACGTGTTTCAGGGGTTTATATCGACGGGCAGCATTTTTACCGAAAGTCGATCTAAACCCTAAACATGTAGAAATACTCTTAGTTTAGATCCAAACATAGCTGTAACGAATTATCGTGTCCCTGTGATAGGTTCGTGAGTTCCTCTACTGAAATTGAATACAGTCAACAGTTTTTTCTCGCCCATAAAACCGAAGTGTACGTTTAAGCAAGAAAGGTCTAATCCTCTCTATCTCTAACTGCCTGTATTCCGTCAAAGACGGAATAGGTAATGGAGCGTCAGGTCCCGATAACCTCTAACCTATTTATCACGTATGAAGCTTTGACCTTTGGTCGACTTTACTCAGAAACAGAACACCGTATCAGATATACCAGCATGATGTCAAGAAGTGCAATTATTTACTCTGAATGTTTGCTTAGTTGCAGAAAACGTAATATTAAATTACTAGTTGTGCAAAAATTACAGAACAAAATATGTGTTATCGTCTCAATTCTACGAATTAAAAATAATTTTCAATATTGTCTCAATCTTGAAAAGAGGAATTTGTCCGATACTGACTTTATCTATATTGTGTATATGTTATCTAAATTATCCCTTTATACAATAATTCGTAAGGATTATTAAACAATAAAATCTTACCAGTGACTGCGAATTTCAACATGTTTAGATAAAATGTTTGTTCTAAATAATACATACAGACTTTGAAAACGGGATTACACTGAGCTGAAATTCAATTTAGATATGTTGTCAGCGTTTTGCGGTGTCATATATATTGAAATTTAGTTTAAACATATTGTAATGCCATAATTATGCATACGCCAAGGGTTAGGGCACAGCCTACATGAATATTACGGATGCCCTTTCCTTATTTTAAACAAGATTATATCTACACAATGAAAGATGGCTAGCTGTAACATAACAATATATTGAAGTCCTTGTATATCCAGACAACTTCATGAAAATGTAAGTCTAGAGTTCTGTTTTTTTAAAGTTAAAATTCCTCTATGGTTTAATTGATAGATAGTGGACGAAACGTTAAAACTATCCATAGCTCCTTAACGGAACAAGAGACACACCGGTACCACGGCCCGTATCCATGAAACCGTTCTCATGCTCAAACTCAGTTTCTGTGCTCAAATACAATTTCCTTTTCCCGTGATCAAATAGTAAAAAACATCACATTTTGTCAATGACTTCGGAAGAATATTGGGTAAACAAAAAGTCAAATACTGTTTTCAGTGTATACACACGACTTTTTACTTTGTTACATGGTTTTAGCAAGTTACAAGGAAGTTGGTTTGAGCACAAAATCAATGATTGAGCATGAGAACAGTTTCATGAATACGGGTCCAGAACAGTTCATTGTTCAGGCGTTCACTGTACAGTAACACTATACATGTAAGGCAAGGTGAAGGATATTACATTTATTTCTCTACTCAGAGATAATATTTCTGACAGGTAAATTAAAAAAAACAGCCTCCTCGTCATCACATCTTATTGTGTGAATGACAATATGTATGAAATTTACATTGATAAAATAATTGAAATACATAAAATAAACGCTGTATACTCATTTAAAAACTCGTGTCATATAAATTTCGCTTAACTGACTTATTCCTGTATATAAACAAATACTAAAAAATGTATGTAGACCGCACCCCGATATTGATCTCAAGAAATACGCAATAACCAATATGTTTTTCACTCACTCTGCCGTAGTTGCATAAAAATAAATTGTTATACTCACCATTTTTCTGTAACGTGTTCACTTGTCTGTAGGTCTGTAATTACTGTCTCTCCGTCTGGTCCCAGATATAAACCTCCCAACCTCCCAACCCCACTCTACCCTCCTTCTATCATTGGAGTAATTTAAAACATGGCCATATGCCTATTACCTCAAATGAACCGAACTTTTTTAGAACTTTTACTTCACTTAGGTTTAGTTACTATTTATAGTTTATTCCATTCATCTTGTCTAAATGTCGTCCTCTAATCTTTTTAATCTACAAACCTGTCTTGAATTTGATACGTGATATTGGCGTATTTTATTGCTTATATAATTTTGCTTCAAATGGACGAGGATGCATTCCATGTACCGTTAAAAACTTACAGTGTGTAATTTCGATTTATTACTCGGAATTCTGGCGAAAGTAATGATTTTGTATTTACCAAGAGAAACTACATTAGATTTTACAGTTTCTTTGCATGTTTAATGAAAGATGAAAGTTGCAGTATAAGAGTAATAAATCGAACATTCAATTCAATTCAAAATATTTTATTGATAATACATTTGATCAAAGCCTCTATCAGTCTTTCCCTTAGATCGAACTTTCACTATTATAATTTTTTTAGGCCTGTTAAGAGAGTGAAACACATCCAAGCTTGATTCAGTTGACAAGGTACATGTGCAGAGGCGGTAACAACGTGTAAAATTAGTTTAGGTCCAAATATAGCTGTAAGAAATTCTAGGTCCCTGCGATTGGGGATGAATTTTTTTTACCGAAAATTGATCTTAACCCCCAAAACGTGTAAAATTACGTAAAACACTTATTTATTTTAGGTCCAAATATACATGAGGCTGTAACAAATTCTCAGGTCCCTAGCGCTAGCTGTGATATTCACACGGTGAAAAAAGCTATCGCTATTTTTTGAATAATAAATATTTTAATGAGTAAAAACGAAATCACATGTAATGAATAAATTAGCTAAAAAGGTAGATCAAAACAATCAAACTAATGTTAACGCTTACAGTAATTCTTTTTGTTCGGTGTAATTTCCGGAGGTCTGTCCGTCCGGCAAAACTGTTACAATCGCCACAAGATGTCTGCGCCCATGAAAAAAGCCATGACGCAGATATCGTTACCAGTTATTTCACCACGGTCGAGCTCTAGATCACCATGTACAAAAGACAGTCAGCAGTGTGACGTCTCTCAAGTTTTTGATCAACGTATATGCCCGTCAGATATTTCATACGATGATTTTTTCCAAAAATATCTTCTGCAAAACAAACCGTGTATTATTTCGTCGGAGTTGACACAAGATTGGCTTAGCAGACGACACTGGATTGATGGAGAGACTGGTAAACCAAATTTGACGTTTCTAAAGGAAAACTTTGGTACGTGAGTTCACTTGCATAACACGTACATTTAAAACAGTCTGCAAGTCTCGGTTTGTTATATATGATATCGTTTAGTCAGAAATAGGTCTAGCTTCACTACAGTATACGTACTGTTTCTCGTTTTGAAAATTATTTTGACGGGACTGACCTATCAAAACAAAGAAATTATCAGTTATTTCGGAATGGATATTGATATAGACCATTGCACGGACAGTCATCCTTCAATTCACATGCAATATAAAAGGTAGACTCCATGTATTGTACTGTAGTGGCCAGAAAATCATTCATCAATTCACCTTTAATATGTGTGCTTAAGTCTTTACACTGACAATGTTAGAAAGAATTTCCTTTTGGGGTCAGTCAATCATTCACTCATAAATAAAGGGTCCATGATTTAAGATTGACTGGCTTCAACCCTCTAATATTTCGCCTTACAGTTACACTGGCACTATAAGGCCAAAGGGGGTAGAGGTGAGTCAGTTGATCAATGATCACTCACCTACATGTACAGGTGTTGATTGATTGATTGGTTTTACGTCCGCTTCACTTCCGAGTACTTCGGTTATCCAGCAGGCGGTATGAGCCACACTGGCTTTATTAAGAGGTAATTATCAATATCCAATCACCTGTATTAATGTTCTACATTTAGCAATATGATAATAGGGAGATAGCCTTAGGGCAATTAAAGTCAATCATTCAATCACATAAATGTTCACTATATATACAAACGGCAATTACAATGATCGTGATCCTAATGGTTGGATCAGAGTTTGCTTCTGAAATAAGGTCGGACCTGGTAGAGTAATATAACATATATTTTTAATCTGATGCTGCTTTCAGACAAGTCTTGACAAAGCCTTGCATTAGGCCAGCATAAACATTTGCAGGTCTATAGATCTGCCAGGATTAATACCCAAAAATATATCATTTAAAAACAAACAAACCAGTTGTTCTGCATAAACGAACAGGCCCTAAAGAACTTTATAAAATGAGAACATCGAATCTGTACGACAAATTGCAAATAGGAGAAGTTGTCTCTAACTCTTCTTCTTCTCTTCTTCCTGTTCATATATTTACATAATTGGAAGTGTAAAAACTCAAATCATATGTCTGTAGACGTGTTATGTTTGGGAATAAGTGAGGATTGTGCTGGCTGCATATAGGTGTGAATGCTTCGTATCGATGAAAACTTATAATTATCCTGTATCTTTTAGGAGATGCTGTCGCCCCTGTAGCCAACTGTGGACAGGAGAAGTTCAGTAGCCAGTGTAAAGAGGAGATGAGGATGAGTGAGTTTCTGGATTACTGGGGAAATTACATGTCCAAAGGTCACCCACGGTCACAGAAATGTCTTTATCTCAAAGACTGGCACTTCACAAAGTATGTGTATACATACGTGTACATGTATTACATGTACAGAGACAGTGTCTGTATAAAAACTGGATCAAACTATCAGACACTGAGATATTTCAACATATAATATTAATAACAAATGTCAATAAATTAATATACAATTGTACCCATGGTACTTCCCTAAAACCTTATATTCCCCAACCCAATCACCTCACTCTCATATGTGTATATGCTCTGATTTTTTTTTTTATGAAATAATATGTTTTTTTGTTGTTGTCGGTTTGATTCCCCTGCAACACCACCCACCACCACCCCACTATTTTTTTTATTATATGTGCAAATAAAATTTGAAATTCTTCAAGTTTGCATGGGCCCCTTTCTTCCAGATATATTATTTTTTACTACTAATAACTTTGCACTAGAGGATTCAGCCAAAAGAAAAATAAGCTTCCAAATGTTGGACATATAAGTTTCGAGAATAAATATCAGAAAGATTTTCACATTCATCATAACCCCAGAATTTCACCCGTCATCAATACATTAACCTGTGTTGTAGTCATATTAATATTGTTAGAATTGTACAGGAAAATCAATAAGCTTTCAAAACTAATATATTGATAAAATGGTTTTCTTTGTTTTGAATAACACCATGCATTCATATTAAAAACCTTCTTTCAGGGCATTTCCATCTTACCAAGCATATTCCACTCCAGTTTACTTCCTGTCTGATTGGATGAATGAATTCTGGGATAGCCGTACTGACTCTCACGATGACTATCGTTTTGTGTACATGGGACCGAAGGGAAGCTGGTAAGTACACGTACCATCGGAATGTTCCATGTCAGTGATAGTTCTAGAAATGCATAAACATCTCCTTCTAGAGGTGATAAAAATTATCAAGAACTGGTACACTGTAGAAAATATTTCCCTAAATAAAATACACATGAAAATAAAGTGATTTACATCGTAGAAGTAACCTTTGAAAATATGTACTTCCCTTAAAGATGCAGAAAAGTTTATTTGTTTTATCCATATTCAAAGCATTTAAAAGGTAAAATATATTTTAGTGTCTTTTTATTATTTCTGTATCATTGTATTGAAATTGTTTAAGTCTGAAATTAAGGGAAATAACTAACGCTTATAACAGGTTAGTACAAAACAAGGTAGCAAATATGCTGACACAAATCCAGAGTTCTTTTGAGAAGTAGCATATAGCCTTAATTCTAACACAAATCACAGGTATATATAGTGTAAGGTAGCATACAACCCTAACTCTAACTCAAATCACAGGTATATATAGTGTAAGGCAGCATACAACCCTAACTCTAACACAAATCACAGGTATGTATAGTGTAAGGTAGCATACAACCCTAACTCTAACACAAATCACAGGTATATATAGTGTAAGGTAGCATACAGCCCTAACTCTAACATAAATCACAGGTATATATAGTGTAAGGTAGCATACAACCCTGACTCTTACACAAATCACAGGTATATATAGTGTAAGGTAGCATACAACCCTAACTCTAACTCAAATCACAGGAATATATAGTGTAAGGTAGCATACAACCCAACCTCTAACTCAAATCACAGGTATATATATAGTGTAAGGTAGCATACAACCTTAACTCAAACACAAATCACAGGTATATATAGTGTAAGGTAGCATACAACCTTAACTCTAACACAAATCACAGGTATAGTGTATGGTATATACAACCTTAATTGTAACACAAATCCTAGTTATAGTGTATGGTTTATACAACCTTAACTCCAGCACAAATTTCATCTATGATGTGTAGTATTCAGCCTTCACTTTTAACACATATCACAGGTGTAATGCATTGGGTAGAAATTAACCTCAAAATGTCAGAAGGTATAAATAGAAAATTGTGTGTAATATTGTAGGACGCCATTTCATGCTGACGTGTTCCGATCCTTCAGTTGGTCCGCTAACATCTGTGGAAGAAAACGCTGGATTTTCCTTGCACCAGGTAATAACAGGGTTACCTACCTTTGCTGAATCTTGTGAGGATTTATTTAATTCTTAAGAAAAAAGATATTTTGTGAAAAAATTATATATATAAAAAAAACAAAAAACATTATGGTACAATGAAATTCTACACTGAATATTTACTGTAATTTTACTAATTTATATGCTGGCTATCCATTACGAAAGAGAATTTTATACAGTATTTATTCTGCAATAAACCCATGTGGGGTAAAAAGACATATTTATTGAGGTTCTGACAATAAAACTGCCAACAAATTCTATTACATTGCCCTATAATAAGCCCACCTTCAGTGTGGTCTATTTTAGGTGAAATGTCCAAACCCAGATTCTTGTTGAGGAAATCATGTGGTTGTTTGTTTTCTAGGAGAAGAAGAGAAATATAGAAACAAGTTTGGAAACCTGGTGTACGACATAAACTCAGATGAACTCAATGACCCAAAACAATATCCATGCTACAGCCAATCAGCCGCCAGGATAGAGGTCATCCAGGAGCCAGGAGAGGTCATCTTTGTACCTAGTGGCTGGCACCATCAGGTTCACAATCTTGTAAGTCTTGAGCAAAGCAACAAAGTTGTCACCATGGCAACAATACATCATGTATTGGTTTCGTCATAGCAACACTGTTATCACCATAGTAAGATGTTGTCACCATTGCAAACAGTGTCATCACCATTGCAGTTGTTAGCATGGAAATAATGTTAGCATCATAGCAACAATATTATCTGCATAGCAACACTAGTGATGGGCAATCAGTCTAAAATCATAATCAAAATCGGTTTGTAATCCGAAATGAGAAAATGATTGATAATCAATTGCATGATCGGTTTATAATGTTATGGTACTGAATACCTAAATAAAATGAGAACACTACTGTTACATCAGCAGACAGAGTTGTTAGGTTTTCTTCTTTTATCAAGTAACTTTTGTGCAGTTTTGTCAATCATATAGTAAAACCAATTTATAAATCACTTTCAATGCATACTTTACAATGTATACATTTGACGCTCTTATTTCAATAACGAACTGTTATATCAATTATGGAATTTGTAATTGATAATGCTAAACTGATGGATTTTCTTATTTATTAAATTTCAATCATCACAATGGCAATATTTTTACTTCCTTAGCAATAATATTGTTTCCATAACAACAAATTTTACACCAAAGCTGTGATTATGTCACTATTAAAGCAAAATTAGTTTCATCATCAGTCAAAATTCTGATACTTCAGGGACAATGATGTGGTTATTTTTTTGAAATTCTGCAATCATTTCAATTACAATGACAGGTTATTAGTTTTTCTGTAAGGGAAGTAACTCTTGCTGACTTATACTCTACTTCATAATAATTTGTGAGTTCCTAGTATAATAACATAATATGATGCATCATATTCTGTGAAATTCGTCTAATCTGACCCATGAGTCTTCTGACATCCTGCATAATTTAACATTACAGTGTAATTCCATCTCTAATGAAACCTTTCTGTGTTTTCTGACATCCTCATCCTTGTCTAATTTAACGGATATGTTGTGTCCCACAGGGTGTCAGATTAGACAGGTTTGACCCTACTTGTGTTTCTGCTTTCAGTTTTCAAAATTTAGGCAAAACATTATTTTTAGCAAAATATATTTATTACAAAGATATAAATGCAGCATTCACATTTTTAAAGAGTTACAGTGGTTTTGTACAAAGAGACAGGTGTTAAGACTATTAAGGTGCTTTTCAACATCAACACATTCACCCCTGAAGACACATTTGAACCCTTCCAATGCAAATGATGGAATAGATCATTATGAAATGTCAGGGGTGAATGAGTTAAACAATGGTTATACTTATACATCATTTCATACTTAAACAGTTCTGAAGTAAAGTTATATAGCCACTGTACTTTGACTGTACTGGTTAAAAAAGTGACAAACACCTATACTGAAAAAAAATCCACTTACATTTAAGGAGGATACAATCTCTATCAATCACAACTGGATGAACGGCTGTAACATCAAGAGATGCTGGAACTTCCTAGAACAGGAGTTGTCTGATGTACAACGTGAAATATCGGACTGTCGTGACATGGAGGGATGGCAAGAACAGTGTCAGGTACTAGCTTCAAATCTAGGTTTTATTATAACAGATGATGAATTTAGTTCAGACAATGATAAGTAAAATGAAAACTGCTGATCATCCGAAACTCTGGAAATTAGCCAATTCATGTGGCCCAAGGGTCATCTGGTGTAGAGAGAGTGCTTTGTAACACTGTATAACAGGTAATTGCTGCAGGGACAATATTTTTCAATTTTGTGAGTCAATGAAGTGAAAGCAAAAATAGTATCCGTAGAATAATATCGCAAGCGTAAAAATGAGCCGCGATAGTTAACTTCATAACCGCAATGTCGTCGGGTAATAGCGAGTATGTGGTTGTAATGATTATATTGTCAGGCAATAGCGAGTATGTGATTGTAACGATTATGTCGTCGGGTAATAGCGAGGATGTGGTTGTAATGATTATGTCGTCGGGTAATAGCGAGAATGTGGTTGTAACGATTATATTGTCAGGCAATAGCGAGTATGTGATTGTAACGATTATGTCGTCGGGTAATAGCGAGGATGTGTTTGTTATGATTATATTGTCAGGCATTAGCGAGTATGTGGTTGTAACGATTATGTCGTCGGGTAATAGCGAGGATGTGGTTGTAACGATTATGTTGTTGGGTATTAGCGAGTATGTGGTTGTAACGATTATGTCGTCGGGTAATAGCGTGTATGTGGTTGTAACGATTATGTCGGCGGGTAATAGCGAGTATGTGGTTGTTATGATTATATTGTCAGGCAATAGCGAGTATGTGGTTGTAACGATTATATTGCCAGGCAATAGCGAGTATGTGGTTGTAACGATTGTGTCGTCGGGTAATAGCGAGTATGTGGCTGTAACGATTATATTGTCAGGCAATAGCGAGTATGTGGTTGGAATGATTATGTCGTCGGGTAATAGCGAGTATGGGGTTGTAACGATTATGTCGTCGGGAAATAGCGAGTATGTGGTTGTAATGATTATGTTGTCGGGTAATAGCGAGTATGTGGTTGGAACGATTATGTCGTCGGGTAATAGCGGGTATGTGGTTGTAACGATTTTGTCGTTGGGTAATAGCGAGGATGTGGTTGTAATGATTATGTCGTCGGGTAATAGCGAGTGTGTGGTTGTAACGATTATATTGTCAGGCAATAGCGAGTATGTGGTTGGAATGATTATGTCGTCGGGTAATAGCGAGAATGTGGTTGTAACGATTATGTCGTTGGGTAATAGCGAGGATGTGGTTGTAACGATTATGTCGTCGGGTAATAGCGTGTATGTGGTTGTAACGATTATGTCGTCGGGAAATAGCGAGTATGTGGTTGTAATGATTCTGTCGTCGGGTAATAGCGAGTATGTGGGGGTTATGATTATATTGTCAGGCAATAGCGAGTATGTGGTTGGAATGATTATGTCGTCGGGTAATAGCGAGTGTGTGGTTGTAACGATTATATTGTCAGGCAATAGCGAGTATGTGGTTGGAATGATTATGTCGTCGGGTAATAGCGAGTATGTGATTGTAAGGATTATGTCGTCGGGTAATAGCGAGAATGTGGTTGTAACGATTATGTCGTCGGGGAATAGCGAGGATGTGGTTGTAACGACTATGTCGTCGGGTAATAGCGAGGATGTGGTTGTAATGATTATGTCGTCGGGTAATAGCGAGTATGTGGTTGTAACGATTATGTCATAACTATAACTATAATCTCTGTAAATTAATTTTTCTAATTTTAGGTTAAATAGGGAAATTTGAGCCCCCGTAAATAACCTGTTATATGGTAGCTTGCACAGTAGGTTCTGTCTTGAGTGACAACTCTGCTAAGAGAACACTTCTTTGACTTTTTTGTTTTTGTGTGTGTTAATGAAAAAATCAATTCTACAAATCCAAGATTAACTAGGAGAAAATTGAACCTGTCACACACAAGACACCATTTGTCTTCAGTGATTTAACTGACAGAGGGATTAATCTATTTTTTGTCTCATTTAGGGTAGAAAATATACCAACTTGGAAGGAAGTTTAGGAGTGAACTGCAAATTTTGGGAATGAGGGATACATATGAAATAGTTTCAATTGGGAATTGAACCCATTATAGGCCCAAAATTGTACCCGGAAAATTAACTGAATATTATCTTTCTGAAGTCACTCATTTACCCGAAAAGTAATGATCACCCGTCTTCTGATAACCAGTAACATTGTAGAATATCAAAGTGCCCTGGATACCAGGTAGCAATTTTGTTTCTGTATTTCTCAATAGTCCATCAACAGTTTAACTCAATCACCTTGAAGACACATTTTAACTCATACAATCAAAGGTTGGAATAGTTCATTATGAAATTTCAGGGGTTAATAAGTTTTGGAGTCTAGGCTAAGATTGATAGCTGAATAATTAATGGTTGTCTGAAGCTGTGATTCAAATGATTTAAGACAGCTGAATTGGAGCAGAACACAAAATAGCAGTTATTGATAATCTATTAATAATTAAAACAATTTTTTAAAATGTTTCCAAGTGCTACATCCTGTTATGTATTTTTATTCAATTTTCAGTTGATTCTAAAAGCCAGCAGTGGAATAGATTACTCTGAATTTTACCGGTACTTGATCACTATAGCCACACACAGAATGGACTTCCTGCAGCTCGAACAAAACTCTGATGGTATACAAAACCTTTATTTAAAATCCCCTGAGGATAAAAGATGTGATCAAAGAATGAAACCATCATCTGGAGAAGTGTCCATGGCTGTCAAAGGGGAGACAAATGGTGTATGTCAAGATCCTGATATAAAGGTTTTGGTTGCCACAGGTCAATATAGATCTCAGAGTGATAGAAAGATTGACACATGTCAAAGTGGAAGACAGATTGACACATGTCGAAGTGGTAGACAGATGGACACATGTCAAAGTGATAGACAGATTGACACATGTCAAAGTGATAGACAGATTAACACATGTCAAAGTGAAAGACAGATTGACACATGTCAAAGTGATAGACAGATTGACACATGTCAAAGTGATAGACAGATTGACACATGTCAAAGTGATAGACAGATTGACACATGTCAAAGTGATAGACAGATTGACACATGTCAAAGTGATAGACAGATTGACACATGTCAAAGTGATAGACAGATTGACACATGTCAAAGTGATAGACAGATTGACACATGTCAAAGTGATAGACAGATTGACACATGTCAAAGTGATAGACAGATTGACACATGTCAAAGTGATAGACAGATTGACACATGTCAAAGTGATAGACAGATTGACACATGTCAAAGTGATATAAATATTGATACATGTCAAAGTGAAAGACATATCGACACATGTCAAAGTGATATACATATTGACACATTTCAAAGTGATATACATATTGACACATGTCAAAGTGATATACATATTGACACATGTCAAAGTGATAGACAGATTGACACATGTCAAAGTGATAGACAGATTAACACTTGTCAAATTGATATACATATTGACACATGTCAACGTGAAAGACAGATTGACACATGTCAAAGTGCTATACAGATTGACACATGTCAAAGTGATATACAGATTGACACATATCAAAGTGATGTACAGTTTGACACATGTCAAAGTGATAGACAGATTGACACATGTCAAAGTGATAGTCAATACTTAAGTGATAAGAAGTTCTGTGATATCAACAGCGTTTTAGTATCTTCTTGTACCAGGCCCGAACGAGAAACAGAATCTCAAACTGGTTCAATATATCATGCAATCTTTGATCTGATCCAAGTCAAACAAATTCTTGTTTACATGCTAGAAACTGAGGAATTCAAGCTGATTAATACAAACGCTAATGTTAACTCTGTGATAGATAGGATTGATCATTATATCTTATAAGATTATTGCCATCATGATCTAATTTGGAAATATGCTATTTCTTTGTGTGATATGAAAGTAAATATTTTTCATTATGCTCATTAGAGTGTACTGTTGATTTGGTTTACGTTGGTTATCAGTATGAAGACGTGACATTATTTGGATTTGGCCTAGATTTATATGGCAGTCTTGTCGATGAAGCAGAAGACGCTTACCCTTCTGGAACACCTGGTATTATTCTGTTTGAACGTCTACAAGGGTCTCCATGAAAATCTTTCTTTTGTTCATATTTTCCCCTATAGACTTTCGGTAAAAATGACACCCCAATGATTATCTCGTATATATATATAATCATTGTGGGTGTCATTTTTACTGCTGAACACCTTTGTTTAGGTCGAAATATAGCTGTAACAAATTACCAGGTCCATGTGGCCGTTAGCAGTGATGAAGCATCGCATGGATCCAACTACATTGTAGCTGCCATAACGAGACCTTATCATATGGCCTGGGCAGAGGAGTACTAGGATCCAACAAGATTGTTGAAAATGCATGGGGAATGCCGTTTCAAATGTGAACTAACGAACGGGGAAATTTCGCCAACGTCACAGGCTGGTTTGGCAGTTGACATAGTCGACGTACCATCTCGTCCCAAACGGCCGTCACTACTGTCTAAGTGGAACCAAGACTCGTCTGAAAACAATCACGCACCTAATCCCAGCTAGTAAAGCGCAGATCAGCGACTAATATTTTGACATTAATACAGTATACTAAATGAGTTTCCTGTGGACAGCACATGCATTTACAGGGTGTTCTTTGAACACAAATTTGTTTACCAACAATATATGCTTTTATTATCACAACGCATTGAATGCTTTTAAATGGATCTTGCTGTTCTTGGCATACTCACATTTAAGGTATTATACGTTTGATAATCATTCGCATGAAAAAAGCAAACAATGAAAAAATATCAGACTCCTTGGTCTTATAGAGTGGAGCCTCCTTAAAGGGGCTGATCGGGGGGGGAAATGTCATATTTGCTAAAATGGCATACACATGTTTAAAATACCTTCTTATGAAATATACCGATTCAAATTTTGCTGAAATTCACTCCCTAAGAGTAAAAATCATAATTATATTAACGAAATCCTAAATCGTCACCTGACAGTCTAAAACTCTCAATTGACCCAGATCAGTGATGTAATTTATAGCATTTGCCACGACAGTTGATACCTCCATTTGGCGCGTCATCAACAAGGCCAAATGTAAACATCGCGGCGAAAGAAAAAGATGCATGCAAAAGTCATGACAGGCACGAGGTATCAATACCGTTATATATAACAACAACATATAGGTAGGAATACTACACTTGCATCGTACATGACATTTGAAAACAATTATTTACGTATAATATTGCTGTCTTGTCCGCTGGTTGAGTCCGACATAGCACATGACGGCGTGCTATTGTTGTTATCTTCACTGCCTCACTTTCGAAACAACCACGTGACATATATAAATAGATCTGCGCTAAATTTACGCGGGGCTTCCCCGATATTTCAGTGGTCAAAACTTGACATTGCAAGCAGAACTCGACCATCATATTGCCGTGGTATAACTTTTGGAAGGCCAGAGAACGCATTTAGACCCATTTATTTTATAATTTTCCCCCCGACCAGACCCTTTAAGATATTAGTATGTCCGTTGTCGGCTTCGGTGATGAATATACAGGTTCGTTCTTCATCTTCCGGCACGTGATTATATCTTGATTCAAGAGAAGGATTAGTGTTTTTTTTAATTTTAACATGATATTTATGACTTTCGAAAAAAATATTTTTTTAGGGCGAAACAACCTGGGGCGAACGGGATTTGGGGCGAAACAACCCTTAGGGCGAACGGGATTTGGGGCGAAACAACCCGTTACCCATAAGTATGGGCCACCATCATTCCTTTTACTAGAGTTCAGTCTTTAATATTTTCCCTGTAGATAAAAACCAAAACAAAATCTTATTCATGAGTATTGAGCCGTACAGACTTTGTATTATTTTATCATCCATACGGACACAGCCGGATCGGTGACTCCAGAATTCGGCTTCACTATTACGCCATCGATCGCAAGAATAAGACGCACTTTATTGATGACGGAGGTAGCGTAATTATCTATCTATTAAAGTTATAGGTAATCACACAAACCTTAAATTATTGAGCTTTGCATTCCTTTGCCACCGAGGTCTTTTGAAATTTCTATATTGGGGATTTTTATTTGATCGTTAGCAAAACTGGCTTCAGGTTACGCAACTGGTTTTTGTGATAAAATTTTAGTCTAGCCTTTCAGCCAAGATTGATTAGACTCCGAGTCACCTTGACGTTCAAGAAGTTTTCAGTTAGTAAACAATTGCTGTGCATGTTTGCAAATAAATGTACAAAGTTTCAATTTTATCAACAGTAATGGAAAATTGGATTCATAATAGAAGAATGAAAACTGACGTAACATTTAGTTGCGGTAAAACGATATACTTTTAGCATTACACTATTATCACAAGGTTTTCTGCAATCTGGACGTGATAAGAACGCAACGTGCTAAGAAGTAAGTGATATTCTAACCTAAGACAACTTTTAAACAAAGGGTTAGACATTAAAGCTTGTAGGCTCGAAGGTAGGGGATCATTTATTTTCTTCCATATCATAAATATAGTTCCGAGACGAATCCTTTCCGCATTTCTAATATATGTTTTATAATCGTCCGCATTTCACAATATGACACAACATACTATTATGTGACATGTTCCTATTGTTCCTTGCTATAATTGTATTGTATGACGTCACGTCATTGAGTTTGCCATTGTAATGTATACAAGCACAAACATATTATTCTCAGCTTGTTGGGAGAGGGAAAGTTCATTGGCCAAAGCTTTATTACGCCACACGTACAGTAAAACCTCAATATAATGCCCCTCGTTTCGTTTGCCACCTCGTTACCCGAAAACATATTCCAAGGTCCCATTTTCTTTTTTTCTGAGGTGTTTCTTCATACGTTTCTTTCAAATTAACACAAAAGCCCATTTACAATGGCGAGATGTCTCTGGCAGTATAACGAGGTTTTACTGTTTATCTGTTTGACGCTAAGTCACATAAATTTTTATGGAATCACATGTAGGCTGATTGGAACTCTTCTTTGTTGAGGGAACAACAAAGAGCCCTTGAGACTCCGTACCTTAAATGAGAATAGATATAGCATAGCAAGGAAGCATGTAAAACTTAATGAGAGAAAATAACCGTTATCCATGTTACTCGCGGAGATAGCGGGAACACACTTTCACCGTAATAGTTTCCGCTCCCGAGGTAAGATAAAAAAAAAAACTGCATTAAAAGGATATTACTGTACTTCACATTGATATTAAGGAAGGCAGCACACATTCCAGAGGTCGTATTCATATATACCTCGATTATACTGAGCGAGTATTCTCATTTTAATCTACATTTCCATGTTCTAATTTAACGTATAGAGAACACGTTCACGAGTTTGTCATTCTCGTTTGCCTCGTTTATCAAGAAAGTATAGTATGGATTCAATAGTAGAATGTCGTTACATTACATAAAACAAGTTTGATGGCTTGCTCGTTGTTACTTCCATCATCAACAACAAACAATTCGCCGATCACACATTCTTGAACAAGGTACATATGTAACGGGTATTTGATTAACATACATGCATTCTCCAGGTAAATTTTGTCATACGTATCTTGTTTGCAGGTAATGACACGTAAAATAGATCTGGCCAAACGTTCCGCTTTTCGATATTTTGGCAGAGGTTTAAATGGAAACACCTAATTCCTTCAAAAGTGACGTCATTCAGACCTCCACCTCCGAGGAATTTGAAAGTAACCGGTATGATTACTATTCATTTGGTTTTACAGCTTTATATATGAACGGAAACAAATGCAAGATGAACCTGGTTCACCCCAACCATGGCCCCCCACCCCCACCCCCCTAAAAGATGCAGGGGAAATAAAACATAATTTGAACCTAAAACAAAAAAAACCCAAATGCAAAACACGTGACAGTCGCCTACAGTACGAGAGGCCCACGCTAATGTACGTCTGTTCGATATTCCCTTTTATCATCAAAACGACTAGAATTATCATCCGATCACGATACAGGAGAGGGACAAGACACGGTGTGTAGACCAGCAAATGACACATTATTTACTGAAGTTTGAAGGGCTGAAAGAAATAATTACATCGCAATGACAGGGAGTATAAAAACGCAACACAAAAGCGGAAATACACGAAATCGCCGAACTGTTTCGAGCTGTCATTATCCATTTAAAGGAACATACCATGAACGTTATGTTACTGTCATATTTTAAACAAGGGAAATATTACTCAATCCAATTTGACAGCATTGCATTCTAGCTATGGACAACAGTCGTACAACTGTATCCCAATAGAATCATGATATGAACAGTCAAAAACCGGGTAATGGCTGGGTTCAGGCCACGCCAATTTCTTTTGATTAATAGCATGGTCATGATATTAACAATTTTCAAATTTATTTGAAATTAACCAGTTCTCTAAAAATTGAAATCACATAAAATTAAGGGGTTTTACTCAACCCCCTTTCTGTTTCTAGAGCAGTTAGATTAAATTGAATTTCCAAATTTCGGCTCGCATCCCTTTCTGTTTCAAGAGTAGCCAAGACCAATTTGAATTTTCAACTTTTCGGCCCCTAGCATCACTCACGAGTCCTAGATGGACGTAAGTACCCCAAACGAACTGGGGGGCTTGTTAGTTTTACACGTTTCATGATTCTTCCGCCAAAATCTTGTCCGACGTGTTGTTTGAAAACTGCTGGGTGGAATTCATCTAACCTTGGCATGAGCTTTTATTGGCGTAAGGTGTATTGCAGTGAATGTAAACGATTTACCGATGCACAAAAATCACATGGCCGCTGTGACCTTATTTCCAATTTTCTGAGATTTGTCCAAGATGTTGTCAATATTTCAACATTCAGTAGCTTTCATTTCCCTGTTACTCAACCAAGATGGCCACCATAATCCATGATGGCGTCCATAACCATATTGGTCGGAATTTATATATTTTGGCTT